AATAATAATAATAATATAACAATGATAATATTCTATCAATAGAAGATAGGAACTATTGAAGAGTAAAAGAATAATCAAGGTGAGAGAAAATTCTATTCACTAGTTTTTTTTCTTTTCTCTCTCTTATTAAGCTACCATAATGAGAGAAAAAACCAAATATCATTACATGACCAGAATGAATAAGGAAAGAGAGAAAGAAAGGATACGAGCAAATAATAAGCTCGAAGAATTTTTGCTTATATACATGATCAATCAAAAAAAAAACAAATAAACAAAACATCAGTTTTCCTTTTATTATCATTGTTTATTTTTTACCAACTTTTGCTTGAGGTTGAGGTGGAGCTGTAGGCGCACGGGGTGGTGTTAATGGTCGACCACTATTTAATCCACCATATTGATATTTAGGTTTTTTTTTCACTTGGTTTCAAAATCTAATTATAGAATCGATGTATATATATATAGAAAGAAGGAAAACATGTAAAAATGTTATTACTTGAAAAGAGCACATAAGTGATTCATCAACAGACATCATTCCACCAGCATTATCGAATTCACCGCAATAATTAGGCGCAGAAAATAGTGTTACTAATTGACGTTTTGCAAAAAATTCATAACCATCTTCTACAACCTATTTAATTATAAATAGAAAAACGTTTTTTCTCTCCCTAAGGAAAATTTACGTACTTGATGAGCACGACAAATCAAGTCCATATCATGTCGATTTAAAAACTAAAAGTAATGGAATTAAATATAAGTATTTAATTTTTTATGTAATCTACTTTAGCGACAACATCAGCTCCAAATGTAAATGAAACACCACGATCATTTTCACCCCAACCTTGAGTTTCTTTATCAGGATCAGACCTGTCATAATAATAATATTAGGAATTAATAAACAAGAAAACAAACAAATCAATCACATACCATAATAAGTCACACAGTAAACCTAAAAAAGAACATGAAAATAAATATAATATTTTTAATTAAATGAAAAACATACCAGTATCAGGTACATCAGTTGGACGCATTACCCGCCGAATTTGTTCCATAGTTTGAAGATCAGGAGATAAACCTTTAATTAATAAATACAAATTGATTTTTTTATTAACATTATAATTATGACATCAAAATCGATCGTTATCTTGTTTTCATCAAGACTGAAGAAGTCATCGAGTAAACAATCAAATGTATTTAGAGTACAGATGAAATAAAAGAGAATTTATGCTCGATTATCATGGATAATATTATCAAAGATACTTGATACATTATCATATGTAATATAGCCTAATTTCAAAATGAAGGAGATGATCAATCTTATTGACCTCTAATATAACATTGTCTAGATCAGATAGACAATATACAAAATATATATTAAAATATTATATTCTCATACCTCCGTGACAACAAAAGATTTTTTCATCGATAATACCAGCAATAGGTAAACAATTGAAACAATCAGTAAATGTTTTCCATAGCTTAATATTATATCGACGTTTACCTATAAAACGAAATTTTTCATAAAAAAAACGAACATTTTTGTTTTTCTTTTCTTCTTACATTCATCATAAAAACCATAAATTCGATTAATCGAAGCACATTCATGATTTCCACGTAAAAGAAAGAAATTCTCAGGATATTTTATCTTAATATAAAATATAAAATAAAATAAAATAATCTCAATTTATTAAACATACTTTATAAGCAAGTAATAAACAAATTGTTTCAAGTGATTGTTTTCCCCGATCAACATAATCGCCAAGAAATAAATAATTTGATTCAGGTGGAAATCCACCATATTCAAATAAACGTAATAAATCTGTATATTGTCCATGAATATCACCTACAGTAAAACATTATATATAAGATAAGTCGATTCTTTTTCTTTTTATCATACCACAAATTTTAAGTGGTGCTTCAAGTTCAAGTAGAATTGGTTGACTAAGAAATATTTCACGAGATTTTAAACATAATCCACGTACTTCACCTTCGGTCATTTGAACAATCTTTCCTGGTCGACATCCACGTACTATAATAAACGAAATTCTCTTATAAAAATTATGAACTTTTAAGTTTTTACCTTCAAGTAATCGTGCTATAAGACTATCAACATTAAGTTCAGTATCTCCCGACATACTTAAATAATCTATAGAAACAAAAAAAGAAAAAAAAAAAGTAAAAGTCACTGATTTTATATATGCACAAACATACATATGTTTGTTTCTCTCTCTCTCCTTGTTCGTTCACTCTCGTATTTCTTATTGGCGACTATGGTAACGTTTTA